GGGGGGGCCCGGGGGGCGGGGGCCTGGCTGGTGGGTGGCAGAGTTCAGCTCCCCGGAGGGGCGAGGGCGGGGCGCCCCCCAGCGCGGCCTCTGAGCGGGACGGGGTGCGGGGGGACCCGGGGTGATCGGGAGGCGCCGCTGCGGGTCCCCGCTTGGCGAGACCCCCCTGTCCCCCGTGCGGGCCCGGGGAGGCCGCGCCGGGCCTCGGGGGGACGCCCTGGGGGCCAAGTCCTCGCAGAAGTAACGGGGCGGGGTGGGGGGAGAGGCTGGAGGAAGTGGCTGGGCCTGAACCTGGCACGGGGCCCGACCCAGGAGCCCGGGCATCCCCTCCCCAGCCATCAGCGCGGCCTTCCGAAGCCACTTGTAGGGGTCCAGAGACCCCCCCCCCCGCTTCTGCCATCTCTTCTGTGCTCTGAGCCCTGGTGACCTGTGGCCGGCAGCCTAGGGGGTGGCACCCACAAACTGGTGTTGTGAGACTCGCTCGTTGTGTGTTTCTTTCCCCCCCAACCCCCCTGGAGAATTGGACCGATCTCCCTTCATCACCCGGAAAGCGGGAAGAGCCACTCTCTCCTGCCCTTCTCGTCTCTGACTTCTTATTGATTGGGACGTGGTGGGGACCATCCCAGCCTGACCGCTGAGAGTCAAGGAATTGCTGAGATTCTGCACCCGTGCAGGCCCTGTAACCTAGACAATTTGTTTACAGAAAGTTCAGGAGCCCTGGAAAGGCCAAGGACTAAGACGCCAGGAGGAAGAGAGAGAGAGGGTAAGACAATTTGGGACTCATGGCTTGTCTGAAGTTGGGATGGAGGGGGGAAGAGGTGTTGAGAGGGAATCATAATTAAAAAACAAAAAAGTTTTTCCCTTTGGGACAAGGTGACAGAGTTTTTGGAGGCAGCGGAGTGGTGTGTAATACCGGTGTGGGCCGCGGAAGGAAAGTGAAGTTTTCTTGTGTGAAAAGTTGCTCCTGCACCTCTTCTCACCTTTGCTCACTTACTGGGAGTGAGATGTTAAGTGTCTACCAGCGGCCTCTGGAGAGGGTTGTATTGTTTGCACATGAGCAATTGATTCTCAGATAGAATCCAAGGGATGGCCTGATTTATGAGTTGAAGGGTGAAGTTTAGAGTGAGGTTTGTTTCTTTGCTTCTTTATTCTTGTTTTGTGTTGTTGTCGGTGTCCATACTGGGATTTGAACTCAGCACTTGGGTGCTGTCCCTGGTTGTTTGTTTTTTTTTTATCTCAACACTGGTGTTCTACCACTGGAGCCACAGCTCTACTTCCTGCTTTTTGCTGGTTAGTTGAAGATGAGAATGTCACAGACTTTGCTGTACAGGCAGGCTTTGAAACTTGATCCTCACCTCCCAGCCTCGAATAGGATTACAGGTGTGTGTCACTGGCACCCTGCTAGCATGGGATTGCTGTCCTTCATGCTCTAGTGGAAGGTGTTGAGGTGGATCTGTGGAGAGATTCGAATCTGTGACTTGAGGTTATTGGTATTTGATATGACAGATGAAGTGTTCTGGGAGGAAATGAGTATTGTTTCTTAGATAGTTTGAAGTGGGTAGAATTCTATGGAGTAGGCTCTAGAAGTTTGTCTGAGAGAATACAAAATTCAGAGGCTTTGTGGTAATAAGAGAACATTTAAGAAGTCTGGAAATAGCCGTGCATGAATTGGAGGCTTTGAGTTCAGCACTTTCAATCTTAGAAGTAGTTAGGGGTGTGTGTGTGTGTGTGTGTGTGTGTGTGTGTGTGTGTGTGTGTGTGTGTGTGTGTGTGTGTGTG